TTATTTTCTTCCCTTAAATAACCTTAAATTCCGTTAGTATAAACTTTATTAACGAAATATTCCGTTAATTATTTATTATTATTCTTTACTTACTCATTAATTTCTATAAAGAAAGGTCTTAGGTTTGAACCCACCCCAATTAGAGTTGGCATAATTGTTAAACATATACTACGAATATGTTAAAAATGTATTAAAAAATGTAATATAATATTTAACATAAAATTTGGTCAAATAATTAGCCCGACTAAATACATAGCATTCAAATATTATAAATCAGGAACTTTGAAACTCATTTGATTTTCTTTCATTTATAAAAAAAAAAAAAAAAAAAAAATTAAGTTAAGTTTTTTTTTTCGTTTAATTAATTTTCTTTTGATTATTGAGAACACAACATAATATTTCAATTATGCTTTTATCAGTGCATGAAAACTTCTAAAGAAATTTGTAAGTTAATTTTTACTATATTATTATAACAATATCTATTGTAACCTTATATTTTGAATTATTTATTATCATCCTCTATTGACAGCAATTGTTATTGACAAACTCTCAAAATAATTTGTCTCAACAACGAATTGAAATTTAAAAAAATCAATGATTTTATTATTGTGGATAAAAAGTATGTACGCCACTTTATTGCTCTTATTAAATTAAAAAATAAATTAGTAGCTACAACAAAAAATAAAACATATGTATTTAATTAATTTAGAATAGCCCTATTACATTGTAGTATCTGTTCATATACTTTCTCATCCTACTGAAAAACAAAGAACCAATAATGCCTCTAACTCATAACCTTCCAAATGGAAGTCCAACCCATGTACTATTAGACCACATAGTTTTATGCATTTAAAAAGAATTATGCATTATAAAAATTTTAAAAAGAGATATAATTTTATTAGTTTTATTTTCTACAATTCAAAGATTTCTTATCTTCAAATTTATTAATTTATTATATTCACTACATTGTCTATTGTCTTCTTTTTACATTATCTTGTAATTAAATATCAAAGTTAAAATTTAAAATACTAGTATTTGCACCCGTGCGATGCACGGAATGGATTTGTTGTAATATATTAAGAATATATGAATCGATATATAATTATTTAAATTAGAACATCAAATATTATATAGTGCAATTAAAGATATGATTTGAATCATTTATATATATATATATATATATATATATATATATATATATATATATATATATATATATATATATATATATATATATAGATATATATATATATATATAGATATATATATATATAGATATATATATATATATATAGATATATATATATATATATATATATATATATATATATATATATATATTGATGTTATCATTGCTTGAATTTGTGCAAATAATTACTCAAATTAATAACTAATGTCTAGATGTACGCGTGCAGTCCTATAATTTTGAAAATTTTATTTATCATTGTTTAGTATTTTCATAATTAGACAAATGTGCTCGCCATTTTTTAATTAAAATGCAATTTTCTGACCATTTTTAGTCAATTATAGATAATTTTTTATTTGCAGTCAATTATTAATATTCATTTCCTTTTATATTTTCAGTCAATTAGTAATATTAGATTCATTTTCAGTCAATTATTCTTTTTTATTTCCAATCAATTAGTCAATTAGAATATATATGCAATGATATTTTTACCTAATTTTCGTTCCATTTTAATTTGATGATGTAGAATATTATTAATGAAATATTTTCGTTTCATTTTTAATTTATCTTTACTATTTTTTAAAATATTCTTTTTTATTTCTAATCAATTAGTCAATTAGAATATATATGCAGTGATATTTTTACCTAATTTTCGTTCCATTTTAATTTGATGATTTCGTTTCATTTTTAATTTATCTTTACTATTTTTTAAAATATGTCTTTACTATTTGATGATGTAAAATATTATTGTTGAAATATTTTCTTTCCATTTTTAATCTTCCGGGTAAACACAGGGTTTTCACTGTCGGACACGGTAAATTGACTTAAAGATTTAAGGCTACTCAATTCCCAAATCCAAGAATCGAACCCTTGATCATTGGTTAAGGATGGATGAGTCCCTTATACTCAACCACACCCTCCAAGTTACTTGCCTACATTGATGGGCAAGCAATTATGTTTGTAAGAGGAGCATTGCTCCTGTTTTCAAACATTTTCAATGTGAGATCAAAATGATCTCACATCATTTACAAAGGGAGCCCGTGACTCCATTTTGTCTTCTTCTTATTTTTTTTTAAATTTTAAATTTATTTTGTATATCGTTTTGTTTGGATTATTATTATTATTATTATTATTATTTGATTATTGACAAATTCGCCATTTTAACAATTTATCTTTAGTCAAAACACCAAAAATATTATTTAATAACTAAGTAATTTGCTCCAAACTACTAAAAACTAAAACAACACATACATTTTGGGTTAATCTTTCCTAACCCCACTAATAAATAATAAATAATAAATAAATAAAACTAAAATAATAAGACAAAGCTAATGTTTCTTAAATAAGAACCTTTTGACTTCTCAATACTCGCGCACATTGATGTGCAAGTAATTATGTTTGTAAGAGGAGCACTCTTTTCAAACATTTTCAATGTGTGATCAAAATGATCCCATATCATTTACAAAAAGAGTCTGTGACTCCTCTTTTGTTTTTTTTTTTTTAAAATTAATTTTATTTTGAATATAGTTTTGTTTGGATTATTATTATTATTATTATTGTTGTTGTTGTTGTTGTTATTATTATTTGATTATTTGGAGAATTCTCCAAAATTTTAAAAAATTCGTCTTTTAACATTTTATATTTAATCAAAACATCAAAAATATTATTTAATAATTTAGCAATTTGCTACAAACTGCTAAAAACTAAAACAACACATATACATTTTGGGTTAATCTTAGCCAAACCCCCTAATAATTTTTTTTTAAAAAAAAAAAACTAAAATAAGAAGCCATTAAAATACAATAGTTATGCTGTGCATCCGTATGCACCATGCATGGTGCATACGGATGCCAAAACGACGTCGTTTTATTAAAAAACGCGCGTCTCCCCTTTAAAAAAAATCAGGTTCGATTCCTAGCAATAACATTATATTGTTCATTCATTCTGGAATTTTAGTTCATAGATTATGGAATTATAGTTCATTGATTATGGAATTATAGTTCATCGATTATGGAATTGTAGTTCATCAATTCTGAAATTTTAGTTTATAGATTATGGAATTTTAGTTCATTCATTCTGGAATTTTTAGTTCATAGATTAGATTATGGAATTATAGTTCATCGATTATGGAATTTTAGTTCATATGTTGTTGCTGGGAATCGAACCTGATTTTTTTTTTTAAGGGGAGACGCGCGTTTTATTAAAACGACGTCGTTTTTGCATCCGTATGCACCATGCATGGTGCATACGGATGCACAGCATAATTTGCCTTAAAATAAGGTTTCTTAAATAAGAGCCTTTTGAAACGTTGGGCTTCAATAGGTTGAGAAAGTTTCTATGAACAGATACTACATGTAACACGGTGAATCGAATAGTTATGCTGTGGAATCGTGTCCACTTTGCAAGGTAGACACAGTTCTATGTTCACAATTATTGTATTACATGTTCATAATTATAAAGCTAAATATTCATAATCTTTGAATTTCATATTCATAATTATTGAACTCTATATTCACAACTACAAAACTCTATGTTCATAATTACTAAACTATATGTTCATAATTATAAAGCTATATATTCATAATTTTTAAACTTCATATTCACAATTATTGAATCTCTATATTCATAATTACATAATTATATGTTCATAATTATGTTCACAACACTATGTTCATAATTTTAGAACTATATATTCATAATTTTTGAATTATATATTCATAATAATGAGCAATTTTGGAATCGTGTCTACCTTGCTAGGTGGACATGATTCCACAGCATAATTTGACGTATCAATAGTACTCAAAAAAATAAAATATTTGCCTTTGGACTTCTCAATACTTGTCCACATTGATGGACAAACAATTATATTTGTAAGAAGAGCATTGCTCCTCTTATATAGAGGAACTCAAAAGCTCATTTTCCAAACATTTTCAATGTAGGATCAAAATGATCCAACATCATTTACAAAGAAGAGCCCATGGCTCCTTTTTATCTTCTTATTATTTTTCTTTTAATTTTAATTTTATTTTGTATATCGTTTTGTTTGGATTATTATTATTATTATTATTATTATTATTATTATTATTATTATTATTATTATTATTATTATTATTATTATTATTATTATTATTATTATTATTATTGTTGTTGTTGTTGTTGTTGTTGTTGTTGTTGTAATAAATGTTTGTATATCATTTTGTTTGGATATATATTCATAATTTTTTAATTTCATATTCACAATTATTGAATCTCTATATTCATAATTACATAACTATATGTTTATAATTATGTTCACAACACTATGTTTATAATTATAGAACTATATATTTATAATTATGAACAATTTTTGAACGGTGTCTACTTTGCAAGGTGGACACGGTGCCACAACATAATTTGTCGGGTCAATAGTACTAAAATATATATATATATATATATATATATATATATATATATATATATATATATATATATATATATATATATATATATATATATATATATATATATATATATATATATTTGGACTTCTCAATACTTGCCCACATTGATGGGCAAGCAATTATACATTTGTAAGGTGAGCAATGATCATCTTATATAGAGGAGCTCAAGAGCTCCTCTTTCCAAACATTTTCTATGTGGGATCAAAATGATCCCACATCATTTACAAAGGGGAGCCACCTTTGTCTTCTTCTTTTTTTTTTTTTAATTTTAATTTTAATTTGTACATAGTTTTGTTTGAATTATTATTGTTGTTGTTATTATTATTATTTACGAATTAATAGATTTTATTTAATTTCCATTTGAGATTTACTTACCAAATAAGCTTTACTACAAAAGTTTGGGCGGAAAAATGAATTAGGATGATTTTGTTTTTAATTTTATATATATATATATAGATTGATTCTATTTCATTTTTTAAGCAAAATCTTCCGTAAAGATTAATAGTAAAATAAAGCTAACTTATCAATAACCGATTCTATTACATTTTTTACGCAGAATTTTTCTTAAAGGTTAATAGTAAAGTAAGGCTAAATTATTAATAACCAATTGTATTCTATTTTTAATGCAAAATCTTTCCTAAAAGATTAATAGTAAAAATCTTAATGATTCTTTTTCTTATACTGCTTATTGATTCTTTTCCATTTGTCAGAGTGTAGAAAAGTTTCACATGGCTAACATTTCCTTCCATTCATTTCCATTTTTCCATATTATTATTAATTTCCTTCTCAATATTATTCTATATTGTTTTGGCGTACGACTTCCTTCCATTCATTTTTATTTTTCCATATTATTATTAATTGTTTAGGCGGGAACTTGTAAAGGAAGATATTGTTTTTATTAATTAATATAGAATATAGATATAGATTACCAATTAAAATTAAATTTTTTATTATAATTGACCAATAATATTACTAATTATTATTTGAATATTTTGTAAAATAATAAGTAAAAATTATATTACGGATAGGAAAATATATGTACTTTAATTTAAATTTAAATTATTAATAATTAATTCTATTTTATTTTTTAACAAAATCTTCCTTAAAGATTAATAGTAAAATAAAGCTAAATCATTAATAATCAATTCTATTACATTTTTTTACGCATAATATTTCTTAAAGATTAATATAGTAAAATAAAGCTAAATTATTAATAACCGATTTTATTACATTTTTTACGCAGAATTTTTCTTAAAGGTTAATAGTAAAATAAGGTTAAATTATTAATAACCAATTCTATTCTATTTTTTATGCAAAATCTTCCATAAAAGATTAATAGTAAAATATCTTAATGATTATTTTCCTTATACGGCTTATTGATTCTTTTCCATTTTTCAGAGTGTAGAAAACATTCACATGGCTAATATTTTCTTCCATTATTTTCTGTATTTCCATATTATTATTAATTTTCTCCCAATATTATTATTAATTGTTTGGGCGTACGGCTTCCTTCCATTCTTTTTCATTTTTTCATATTATTATTAATTGTTTAGGCGGGAACTTGTAAAGGAGGATTTGTTTTTATTAATTAATATAGAATATAAATATAGATTAATATAGAATATAGATTATCAATTAAAATTAGGTTTTTTTTTTTAATATTATATTTGAACAATAGTATTACCAATTATTATTATTATTATCATATTATTATTATTATTATTACTACGGAGTAATTATGGCGATCTCATAATTACGCCAAAAAATAAATACACTTTTGACCTATACAATGAGGAATTGAGCATAGACTTCATAACTTTCAAAATCGACACCATGAGAATAAAACAACTTAACAAATCAGAACTTCAAAACCGATTACTTCAATAATCAATGCAAAGAACTAAGAAGAATATAATAATAGTCAATTGGTGTATTAAAGGCGATTCCTGCTATATCTTGTCGTGTATATTACAACAGAAACACTTAATCACTCCACATTCTCCAATCACCCGTGAGTCACACATTTTATTTTGTGGCACTTTAAATTCTTGACCAATAACAATATAGCAAAAAAATGAAGAGAGAGATTAGAGGAGTCAGCACTCAGCATCCCTTTAAACGGGCAGGAGTAGGCACCACTCAAAGCGAGATTCACATGAGGCTGCCTTTCATCAATGATAATGAAACTTCAATAGAAACAAAAAATCAATATATGAAATGGACTTGGAGTAACCGTAGAAATATTCAGAATAAATCATAATCTAGGCATATGATATGAATAGCTTTTCGCTAAAAAAAGTATTAAATTTGGACAATACAACCATGAAAAACGTATTGTATCTAATCCAATCAAACTACTTGGATGCTAAACCTACCGTTAATTTTGAAACACGGCTAAACTAAATGATCAAGGCTGAAGACCTAGTGAGAAAAAAGGGATGCAATATAAAATGAAGACTTATAATTTTTGTAGTCATCAACTCATTGTATTTATAGGTGAAAAATATGAGAATTATAAATTTATAAATTTTTTTTCAAAAAGAAAGTGTATTTATTTATTTAAGGTATTGCCTTAATCAATTCATTTTATTGATATTCCTAATAAATTCATTATATTAATATTCCTAATTAATCTTATTCCTAATTAATTCATAATATTGATATTACTAAATTTCCATTTTTCATTTGCTTACCAAATAAGCTTTATTAAGTATTTGACCAATAAAATATAAAATATTTTATTAATTTGACTACAAAAGTTTGGGCGGGAAAATGAAATAGGAGGATTTTACTTATATATATATATATATATATATATATATATATATATATATATATATATATATATATATATATATATATATAGATGTTATATATATTTATTGGATTAATATTTGATGCACCGTCGGTGTATAGATGCTATACACCGGCGATAACACATCATTAAAAATTAAAATTAATACTAATTAAGTCCTTTTATGTAAAATATCTAAGATTTGTATTTTTTTTTTAAACTTCTTTTATTTCTAATTAAAAATATATATATACTTTTCTAAGCATATTTATTACTTAATTTATTATATATATCTAATTATCTAAGTATTATTAATGAAAGATTAATAACTTGCACGTTAATTAACATAGTGCATCACATATTAATTCATTAGTTAATTATTTGATTAATCCATTATTTAATTACAGGATTAATTCATTAATGTTAATTAACCTGTAAAAGAATTCTAATTAACAATAATGTTAATTAACAGGTTCTTTACTCAAACTATTATAATTAAGAATTCTAATTGATATCTAAAAATAAATTTCTAAATTATTATATTTATAATTAAAAATTCTTTAATTTTAATTAATACAAACCATCTAATTTCATATATCTATTTTAACTTCTAAATCTATTTAAACCCCTAACTTCTAAAATTAAATTATAACCTTAGTTACTATTAGAAACAATTGCAATATCTTGTAAAAAATTGTAATATATATTCAATAATGTAAAAAATCAACACTTAATCAAATATTATGTAATAGTACTTATAACCGGTTAAAATAATATGGTTACTAAAAATCAAAGGTTACCTAAAGTTCTAAACCAATTAAAATGGTTGAAATCAGAAAAATAACAAAAGAAAAATATGAAAAGACAAAAATGCTCTTACTTAAAATAAGAAAAGTCAGGACAAGAACTAAAAATGTTCAAAAAATAATAGTCTGAGATGTTAAATGACAAAAATGATAGTCTGTGACTAAATTTGAAATTGTCGACAAGGGAACCCTGGTACGGTGGAATTAACTCAAAAGTATTCAATAAAGTGATTATACGTTATAAAGTGATTTCTATATGGGTCTCTAGCATAACGTTTTCTTAGAATTAATAAATATCACAACCTAAAAGGGAAATTTGTAAATAATTATTAAAATTTTCTATATATATAGAGAGAGTTAATAATTTGACCAAAGAATAATAAATAGAAGGTTAAGTATAAAAAGTATTCAATAAAGTGATGATACATTATATAGTAATTTCTATATAGGTCTCTAGCGATTTCTTGGAATTAATAAATTTCACTGTCTAAAAGAGAAATTTGCAAATAAAAATTTAAAAATTTTCTATAAAAAAAAAAAAAAAAAAAAAAAAAAAAAAAAAAAAAAAAAAAAAACAAGATAGAATTACCAAACTTGAAAATTATTTAAAATTATATGAATATTTTTTTTTCCGATTTATGTTGTTTTGTATTGATCTCCCTCCCACTATAAATACAAATGCATTCTCCTATTCATTCATCCTATTCATTCATAGTAACATCTACAAGAATGGGTTCTAAAGCATTGACATTTCTCTTCGTTATTTGTCTCATTCAATATTGTAAGTCTTTCTCTATTCTCTTTTTTCTTGTTATTCTCAAATTATTACTTCCCAACAAAAAAGTCATCCTATTGATTTATTTCATTTTATGTTTGTTTCAATAACCATATTCTCTATTCTGAGAAATGTACAAACAAACGCATTCTCAACTTTTCTTTATATTTTTTTATTGAGTTAATTTCATGTTTGGTCCTAGATTTATAAGTGACAATCCACTTTTAGTCATTTTTTATTAGAACATCCTCATTTGGGCCTAATATTATTGTGACATGACTATTTTTAGTTCTCCATCAACAAAATCGTTGAAATATCGTTAATTACAAAAATATTTCAATCTTTTTTTTTTAATACAAAGTAGGTTGAACCGCGATATTTTTAATGTTTATTTTTTTTCAAAACATCCATAATTGAAGACCGAAATGTCTTTTTATTTAACGATATTTAAACTGTTTTGTTGATAAATGACCAAAAATTGTCATGCCACAATAATAGTACTAGGACCAAAAGTGGAAGTTTTAATAAAAAATGACTTAAAGTGGACTATCAACTATAAATCTAGGACAAAAAAATTAAATTAACTCTTTTGCTATTTGTTCACTCCCCATTTCTTGTAAACGTATTCTCTTCTTTTCTTTATTCAATTTTTTAATTATTTTTTCACTATTTATATTTTATTTGAAAAAAATATACAAGTAAATATTGTATTATTTACTTTTTTTTTTCATTGGTTGTATATGTAGGTGGTTTCTTTGAGGCTGAGGCAAGAAATGTGCAACCTGTGTTTTGCCAATCCGATGAAGACTGTCAAAGCATTTGTCCTGCTCCAGTACACCCGGGCGCCTATTGCGACACAAGTAACCACCTATGTGTTTGTAATCCTGAGCTAAAAAATCAAATTAAAGTGTGAAAATGGTGAACAAACCATTTCTTACATTTAGAAAGAGTGTAGTTTAATACTGCACTTAAAATAAATATAATCTACTACTCTTTATTTGTTTATGACAATT